GCGGGGGGTGGGGGGGGGATCACGTGGAGCCGGAGGGTGGGGGTAGCACGGGGGAAGAAGCAGGCAGAGGAAAAGACACACCCTTGGGACAGACACACAGCAAGAGCCCACCCAGGACAGACCCACGGCAAGAGCCCGGCCCGCGTGCCCGCCGCAACCCCCTCTCACACTGGGTGCTTGTCAAACATGACGGGCAGGAACTCGTCGACAGGCAGCATCTTGGAGAGCGGCTGGGCCGCCAGCAGCTTGCGGGCGCCTTGCAGGGAGATCACGTAGGCCAGGGTCCAGTAGGAGTAATCGGCCTCCACCAGGTTCCTCACACGGGGCACAGCCTTCTCCGGCCGCTCCACCTGCATCCTCTTCCGGCCCACGTAGCTGGGGTGCAGAGTTAGGGCCCTGTCACCCCCCTCCTTCCCGCCCGCCAGAGGACGCCCAGCAAGCAAATCAGAGACCTAGCGAGCCTCCATCAGGCCCCGGGGGGGCGGCAGGCGTGGTGTGTTTGGGGAGCGATGGGGAGGCCGGAGTGGCTGGGCCAGGGAGGACCCCAGGGGCTGAGGTACGCAGGGAGGAGACTGGGTTTTTCCAAGGGCACTGGGGAGCCACGGGAGGATCCGGAGCTGGGAAGGGAAGGATGTCCTGGACCCTCGCTGAGGCTGAACCACGGGAAGGAGTGGGGCCGGGAGGGAAGCTGCTCTGACTTCACAAGGCTGTGGGGCAGCTGGGCAAGGCGCGGGAATGTGGTGAGGAGTCAGGGACGAAGGGGTACGGCTGCTGCTCCTGTTACAAACATGGTCCACAGTCTGGGGCCTAGAGCCTGCATCAGGGCCCTGCATCCAGCAGGACAGCGAGAGAGGGAGGGAAGAAAGGACAGAGGCAGGGAGGAGGATCCAACTGACCTAGAGGAGATTCCAAAGGACTGTTCCAGAAATACGCTGGCCACACCCCACCTCGAGCTGGTCCAAGACCCAGGCTCCCCGGCTATGCCCCCACAGTCCGCCAGGCCCCCAGCTTCTGGGAACACTCCCAAGCCCTGACCACACCCACCCCAGGCCACGCCCCAAGCCCCGGCTGCTCTCAGATCCAGGGAGCGCGGGGCCTCTTCTGCTATACCCCCAAGAGTTGGCTCAGCCTGTTAACTTGCAAAGGCCATCAGACCTACAGGCTCTAGGCCACCCTTCTGAGCTCCAGGCTCCAGCTCCACCCCACTCTAAACTGGGCCCCGGACCACGCCACCAGCCCTGCCCCCACCCCCCCACTCACATGAGGTCCCAGTCCAGACCCTCCCGTTCCACGTCCCGCATGAGGTTCAGCAGGCGTCTCTTGAAGAAGATCTCAAAGCGCAGGTCGTCCTCGAACACAAGCGACTTCTGCAGCCCGCGGTCCACCACCTGAGGGAGGACGCCCTGCCCACGTCACACAAAGACCAAGGCCAGACCCGACCCTGAAGTCAGCTCTGCTTAAAGGCCCTGGGGCAGCCGGAGGGAAGCAAACAGGCACCTTCCTCACCGTCTTTTGGATCGACCTCCCTCCCTTTGAGGGTGGCTGCCGAGCCCCTGGCATGGGGCTGGCGTTGGTTAATGTCCCTGTGGCCGTCGTTTCTAATTGTAAATGTTGAGCACAGAGACCAGGCTCCGGAGACATTTGACAGCAGCTGGGTGGGAAGAGCCCTCAACTGGGGGCCCTGGGTCTCAGACCCCACCTTCTGTGGGAGCCGGGCTCCCCCTCCCTCCCTAGTCTGTTTTCCCCTCTGCACAAAGGAGGGACAACAGCTGCCCCACCCAGGGTTCAGGGGACTTCCGGTGAAGCAGTCACCGGAGAGAGGCCCTGTGTCCCGCTGAAGTTCCGGAAGCCTGCAGGGGGCGCCAGTGATCCCCTCCAGGAGGGGCCAGAAGCCTGAGGACCCGAGGACAGCCCGCCCTCCCCTGCGAGGCCTACCTCCTTCCAGATATTATAGTGGCTGAGGAAGCAGCCCAGCTCGCCCTTGGTGAGGGGCCGCCCGTGGTAGGGGTCCCGGTAGCCGGGCAGCATCTGGATGCCCAGCGCCTCCACCTGGCTGGTGTTCATGGCTCTGGAGGCAGGGAGCAGGGGTCAGAGGAAGCCCCGCTCGGCCTGCCATCCCGCCGTCAGCCCGCCCCCTCCCACTGTCCGCACCCGCCAGGGAGCGGTCTACACCCATGCTTGTGGACCCCCCGGGGTGGGACTCACTTGCCGTCCACGGCCTCCACGAGCCGGCACTCGATCTCCTGCGCCCGCAGCGCCCGCAGCATGCGGTCCCGCCGGTCCTGGCGTCGCTTCAGGTTGATCATGAAGACCTGCGGGCCAGGAGCTTCAGTGGGAGACTCCAGGCCCGGCCCCTGTCCCCACCCCCGCCCCCGGGGAAGGAAGGCCTGGCTCACCTCGTCAAAGCCCATCTTGTCAGGCGTCCTGGTGGGCACGGAGATGAACCTGGAGGGCTCCGCCGGTGGGTGCTTCACTGTGGGGCGGAGCGAGGCCACGGGTTCGGTGGGGTCCCTCAGGGAGGGGCCTGGCCTCCTAACAACCTCCCTATCCCAGCCCCTGTGTGACCCCCCTTCACCCCAAACTCCTTAGCCTGGCACTGGAGGCTGTGCCTGAGCCGGCTCCACTCACAACTCTGGTGCTAGTCTCTTTCCCCACCCCTACTCACTCGGGCTGTTGGCACTGCCCCAAATGCACCCCCTTCCTACCTCAGGACCTTTGCACACGCTGGGCTTCTGCCTGAAACCCCTTTCCTTCCCCCCCTCCATCCCCTGAGTTCTAAGACGGCCTCTTGAGTTGGAGCGGGGCACCTCCTCCTGGCTCCCACAACACCTGGGCTTCTGCCATCGAACCCCAATCCTGCAGTCCTACCTCTCTGGTTTCCTGTCTCCCGTGTGCCCCCACAGAACAGACACCAGGTCTGTCCACTCACGCTGAGTCCCCAGTGCCCAACGCTTGGTACGCAGCAGGCACTCAATAATTACTCGTAGAACGAGCACAGGAATGATGGCAAGCCGTGTGACGTTGACCTGCCTGGGCCTTGGCTTTCCTCATCTATAAAATGGGACTCTAATAAATAAAAACCACTAACAAAAAATTCTTTAAAATGGGATCCGATTTTAAAAACCTCCTCCTCCCAGAGGTTTCAGGAAAAGATGCCACGAAACGACACATATTATGGGTTGAACTGTGTCCTCCCCAGTGCGTTGGCATCTTTACCCCCCGTACCTCGGAATGTGACCTTATTTGGAGGTAAGGTTTTAAAGACATAGTCAAGTTAAAATGGTGACTGGGATCCTTAGAAACATGGGAACTTTGGTTACAGATGCACGCGCAGAGGACCACAGGAAACGTGCAGGGGGATGGTGACCGTGTGACTGGAGCGCCTACAAGCCAAGCTATGCCAAGGACTTCAGAGTGGCCATGACCACTCCCCTGTCAGCTGCAGTGAACGACGCTCAGACCACGTCCCTGGGGCCCTGTCTTGGCACACCCCTGGTGGTTTCCCTCAGAAGGATCAGATCCGCGGGTGGACGGGGGGTTGGGGAGGCTCCTGCACACCCACTGGGCTGGCCCAGAGGAGCCCAGCCTCACGGGCAGTGCGGCATCTGCAGCCGTCAAGAATACAGGCCCTATGTGAGCCTGAGGGACAGACACAGGCCCCTCTGTCTGGGACAGACCTGGGCGAGGCCCAAAGCCAACCTGGGCCCCCCAGGGACACCACATCCTGGGCTTTTTTTTTTTTTGCCTGCTGGGGTCCCTACACAGCTCTGACCACCCCCTGCCCTCTTTGGGGGAGCCGGAGACCAAGGGCAAGATGTTGGGGTCTGAGCACCCGGGTGCAAACTCTAGGTGCCTTTCCCTTCTCTGAGCCTCTGCCCCTCCCCTGGGGCCCAGGCTCCCCTGGCCTGCCTGTGGGGAGTGAGGATCTCCTCTTTATTGCCTGTTCTGGGAAAATGGAGCACATCGGGCATCCAGAAGGAGCAAAGCCATGCAGCCTTTCCAGAAAGTCACATCACAATGGTTATAAAAACCTAACACCTTCAGCAGACCCATCATGGGGTGAATAATCGAACTTGCCCAAAGAGAGGTCTGGCCTTTGTCCCCAGCTCCTGGGAGGTGGAAGCCCTCTGAACACCCTGCCTGGCAGGACTATCTTTGTTTGCCTGGGGTCTTGGGCCACACCGGGTGGTCTATGCCAACAGTGTGATGTAGGATCTTGCGCCATGTGGAATCAGCTCGCCCTCTGCGAGGACTAGACGTGGAGGTCACCCATGTGGCAGTCAGCCAGGTCCCTGTGAGTCCAATAAAAACCCTGGACACCGAGGCTCAGGGGAGCACCCGCGGCTGGCAGTACACCATGCGTGTTGTTCACACTTTGGTGCTGGGAAAAGTACAAGCTGTCCACACGACCCCACAGAGAGGGGACGACTGAAAGTTCCATGCATGGAACGCTCCTGGATACCACCCCAGACACCCCTTCCCTCTGCTGACTGTAATCTGTGTCCTTTCACTCATAATAAACCGTGAGTGTAACAGCTTCCGGTGAGTCGAGTCCTTCTAGCGAATTATCAGACCCGAGTGTGGTCTCAGGGACCCACGGACTCTGCAACTGGTCTAAGAAGTAAGAGAACTAGTGACACCGGGCAGCAAGGCAGGGGACGAGCCTCAGCTGCATCCAGCAGCCATGGCAGCACCGGCGGGACGCTGGGCGGACGACCTGGTACTTGAGAGAGGAACGCGGGGCGATTCCACTTCCAGAAGCACCAGGCAGCCCAAACCCATCCGCTGAGGAAATAGGGGCGGTGGGAGGGCCAGGGGAAGGCCAGGGCCCGGGCTGTGGCTGGTGACAGGATACAAAAGCGATCATCACCCGCGCACACACACAACGCCCATCGCCCCCGTGTGGCTAAAGCTCAACGGACAGGACTTCTATCCAGCAAGGTTTACGGGGCCGACAGGGAGAGATGCCGCATAGTCCGGGGGCGGGGCAAGGAAGCAAGTCTCCGGGTTCCCCATACTCAGGGACCTCGCGGAGCTTTTCTGCGAGTCTGAAGCTTCGCCGTAAGACAGACTTGAATGCGTGGGAAAAAAATCACACGCACAGCCTGGGTCCAAGCGCCCACAGGTGGACACGTGGTTTTCACTCAGACCAGAAGGAAGGATTTGCACCAACACCTGAAACCTCCAGCCCCTCCTTCTTTTCGTTCCCTATGCTTTGCTCTGGCCCCTGAGAAAACGGGGAAATATTCGCCCCTCTGTCATTTTCGGTTTCTAACAGCAGCGCGAATGGTTTCCTGACCGGAGATAACACTGGAAATATTTGTGAAACTTTAAACTAGGAAAGCTACGGAAGCCTCGGAGATAGTTCTCAGGGTCTAGTCGCCAGTGGGAGTTGGTGACAAGCAGAGATCTACCTCCTGTGACTGCAGTCTGGTGGGGTTTGCTGGGCCGGGTGTGGGCATCCGTCCCAGACGCTCAGATGTTATGTGGGGGCGGGGGGGGGGGGG